ATATGCATGCGCATGTACTGTGTATGGATACATTCACACATAGGGTTGTGCTTGTCCTGGCCGGTGCTGTGCTGCTTCTCCGGGAGGTCAGCTAGCTAGCTAGCTGCCTAGCTAGCTAGCTGCTGGCTAGCTAACTAGCTAGCTGGCTAGCTAGCTGGCTAGCTAGCTAGCTAGCTAGCCACGCGGGTGGCTTGTTTGGCTCTTCATCTGGCTCAGATGGCTAGCTGCTCTGCCAGCTAGCTGGCTGGCCGGCCAGGCGACTGGCTAGACGCCGCCTAGCTAGCTAGCTGGCTAGCTAGCTAGCTGGCTGGCTAGCTGCCGGGCTAGGTGTTTGGCTAACTACCTGGGGGGCTGGCCTGGGAGCTAGCTAGCCGGGCTCCGCAGTTCCGGGAAAACTAGCTGCTGCTGCTGGTGCTGCTGCGCTTGGACTTTGAGCAGCAGCAGCAAAATCAATAGATTTAGAGTGCTTCCCGTGCGGGTCGTTGTGCCGTAGAGACACTCCAGAGGACCTGCACAGAGCTTTTTGTTTCCGGTGTACATACACCTCACTGCTGCTGCATGCGATGCTGCAGCAACGCAGCACCGCCTTTTGTGGGGCGTCCGGTGTACGTACACCCCAGCCGGCCCTTCAACTTATTCCCGAGCACATCACCTCGACACTATTTTATTTGAATTTTGCATTATACAACTAACTGAACCCTAGGAGGGGTCCCCCCGCATGGGGGCCCCCATGGGGGACCCCTAGCCGGGGCCCTATAGTGCAAACCCCCTAAAAGAACCCCTAAGCAGCCCCTAAGGGGGCCCCCTTAAGGGCCCCCTTAGGGGCCCCCTTAAGAGACCCCTAAGGGCCCCCTTAGGGGCCCCCTTAAGGGACCCTTAAGGGTCCCCGTAGGGGCTCCCTTAGGGGGCTCCCGGGGGACCCCCCCGACGGCCCCTTGGGGGGCCCCCTACGGGGGCCCTTGGGGGGCCCACTAGGGGCCTCCTAAGGGGCCGTGCTTGGCGTGTTCCCTAGTTAGGTTTGCTACTGCTGTTGCGCAGAGAATCTGTTGCAGCAGCGGCAGCAGCAGCAGCAGCACCAATATCCTCTGCGACCACAGCGTCTGCTGCTGCTGCTGCTGCTGCAGTTGCTGCAGTTGCTGCTCTTTCCGTAGCTTGTGCCGCTTCTGCACTTTGCCTTGCTGCTTCTATAGCTTCTGCTGCGCTTAAATCTGCGGTTTCAGCTGCTGCTGCTGCCGTTGCTGCCGCCGCTGTTGCTGCTGCTGCTGCTGTTACTGCTGCTGCTGCTGTTTCAGGGGGGCCCCCCTCAACAGAGGGGCCCTCTTGTGTCACTTCTTCCAAAAGTGCTGCTAATATTTGAAGCTGCTTCTCCAGCAGCTTTATATTCTCTTTAGAAGATTTGGCGCTCTGCGCGAAGCTGCTGCTGCTGCTGTTGCTGCTGCTGGTGCTGCAGGTAAGCGTTCTGCTGCTGCTGCTGCCGCTACTGCTGCTGCCTCCCGCAGCTTCCTCAAACTCTTCAAGCGCGTGCTGCGCAGGCAAACAGGCCCAGGACCCTTAAGCCCGAAACCCTAAACCCCAAACCCTAAACCCTAAACCCTAAACCCTAGCTATATTTACCTGCTTCCACTGCGCACAGCCCCCTGAGCCAAATGCCTCATCTTCTTCCCAAAAGGCAGTAAGAGCTGCTGAGGGGTCTACTAAGGGTTCGGCAGCAGCACTGGCTGATTCTGCTGCTGCTGCTGCTGCTGTTGCTGTTGCTGCTGCTGCTGTTGGGGTTGCTGGTGCTTCTGCCGCTCCTGCTGCAGCAGAGTCTCCAGACTTGCTAAGCCCTGCGGACACCCCAGGAACCAGCAGCGCGAGTTCCCTCTAAGCAACAGCAGCAGCAGCGGCAGCAGCAGCAGCAGCAGAAACGGCAGCGGCAGCAGCAGCTGCAGCAGCAGCAGCAGCAGCAATAACCCACCTCTGATGCTCTTTCGAGGAAGAGCTCCCAGTACAGGTGACCCCGCCCTCCATCCCGAGAAGAGGAACTGCAAAGACACAAAACCCTAAACCCCAAACCCTAAAGCCTAAATCCTAAACCCTAAACCCCAATCCTAAACCCAAAGCCCCAAACCCTAAACCCCAATCCCTAAACCCCAAACCCTAAACCCTAGACCCTAGACCCTAAACCCTAAACCCTAGACCCCAGACCCTAAGCCTTACACCCTAAACCCCAAACCCTAAACCCTGGACCCCAAACCCTAAACCCTAAACCCTAGACCCCAAACCCTAAACCCTAAACCCTAAACCCTAAACCTTCATAATTTCAACTGGACTGTTGCGAGTCCACTTGCCAGGGGGTGGAAAAAGGCCAAAAGGTAATTAACTATTTTTCGATCAGCAGCAAAAGAAAAAGCTGCAAAAAAGCAAATTGAAGAAAAGCAAAACTTCCCCACACAAGTCCCTTCTGTTGCCAGCAGCAAACGGTGCACAAACGA